CGGGTAAACAGGAAGTGTCGGAGCTGCGTCTGCAGAGCAGCAGTTACTGTCAGGAAGTTTCTGACCTGCAGGAAGTTCTGCAGTGGAAACAGAAGAAGATCGCGGTACTTCATAACTTTTCTAACGTCTTTAATATTTACAATTTTATTTCCTTCACTAACTCCTCGTTTACTTCTTTACTTCCCTCCCATCCGTCCTTCCTTCCATTTTCTTTTCACCTCCTTCCTCCCTCCCTCGTTCAGGCGTTAGAGAGAGAGAGAGAAATCTCTGACATCGTTCGAATTGAACGAGATCGACTCCGAGACGAAGCGACGCAGCTGCGAGATTTACTGAAGGTATTCAGAGGAGGACACACGCCCACCTGAGTGATGTCATCATTAATCAGTTCATTTAGGAAGAAGTGGTGACAGGATTCATTCATATTTGTTCTCTGGAAACCATTAATTGATTGATTGATTTTCTTTCAAACAGAAACACGGTGTTGTGGTCTCATCTGAAATCTCCACCAATGGGGAGACGGGACAGACTGAGGCTGATGTCATCACTGACTCTGGCATCCTATTGGCTCAGGACTGGTGTCATGGCAGCAGAGAGAGCATGCTGGGTAAGAATCAGGAAACGTGAGGTTGTTTGATGAAAACAAATCAAACATTTGATTTAACTCTTGAATGAATCTGTGATAAAATCCTGTCACTTTAACTTCTGATGATTTTTAATCGACTCGTTCAGGTTCCGATGTGTATTAACGTCTGATCATCGTCGTCTTTGTCTCGTGAAGTCGGTTTGATTCCCGACATCTTTAATTTAACATCTTCGTCAATTTAACGCATAAACTCGTCCTCAGTCTCCTTCATCATCTTTCAGGGAAAACTGGAGCGCGGTGTCCAGCATGGGGCAGCAAACTCCAGCAGGACGACATGAAGAAGAAGAGCTGGAGGATTTTCAAACGGTCGCAGTCGCTGAACTGTCTGAGCGACGAACAAACTGAACGTGACACTTCTTACGAGGGAGTGAAAAAACAAGTAAAAGACAAAAAGAAGGAAAGAACGCAACAAATGAAAAGGGGATCTTCAGTCACTCGTTTGAACGATCACGTCTTTAAACCTGAGTTTACCTCCTCCCCTCAGGGTGTCCTTGTGACGGAAAACCAACGCTCCTTCAAACTCAGACGAACAGATGAGGGAGGGAATAGATCGTTCGCATCTCACCTGGAACGTAACAAAAAACGCGATGAGCTGTTTTCACTTGTTCGCAGAACTTCCACCAAACAAATCGTTGAGGCAGGACTGGTTTCAACTCGAGCTGCGAACAAGAGGTCGAATCTGACGCGGAAACGAACGTATAAGATTCAACGCAAACAAAAACACATCAAAGGAAGCGTAATGTCTGATTTTACACAAACGTGCTCGTCTGCTGTCGGGAGTCAAGACACAGACATCAAAACAAAGAGTGAAGAACAAAGTTCAGGAGACGATGAAAGCAACGTTAAAGCTTCACGCTCAGAAGAAAAGAAGAGAAAGAAGATGATCAGGAGAGAAAACAAATTCATCAACACGTCATCTGAGATCCAAGTCGATGATTCGTCTGAAAATGAGACGGTTGAAGTGACAGATAAAATTTGTCATCTGTCGAAGAATTCAGGAGGAACCGAACAAACAGTTGCTCATCTGATCAGAGAGTTCGTTCACAATCACAAGTTCCTGTCTGAGATCTCAGGATCTGTGACAGGAAATCAAACCACTTTAAAAGATTCAACACAAGAAGAAGAAACACAAGAGGAACCAGAAGAAGAAAATAAAGTTCAACTCACTTCAGTCTCTGCAGCGACGCACAAACTGACTCACCACGATTCGTTTAACATTTCACGTCAGAGCAGGTCAGAGGTCAAAAGGACGTCATCACCGGAGGAAACGTGCAACGATCAACGTGAAGGCCACACACTGACGACGAGCTGCTGCTTTGAGTTTGTTTTTGTCGAGTCACACTTTGCTGAACCTCAGGACACAAGATCTGCTGAGTCACCTCAAAGCTCAGGAGACGTTACAACTGAAACCAACGGACAGATGGAGGTCGCCTCTGAATGTCACAGCTGCTGCGTTAAGGACGTAAAACTGAGAAGAACTTTATCGACAAACTGTCACGAGGATCAAAGCTCAAAGATCAGACGCATCATCGAGACGACGGCGGATAAAATCAAGACCATCGTGTTCACGGAGTTCATGATGACCAGTTTCCGAGAAGGAAGGATCGATGAAGATCAACAGGTCGAAGCTTCGCCACGATCAAGCCCTGACCACGCGGATGAGACAATGAAGGGCGGGGAGACATTGGTGGAAGGCGTGGAAAGCTGCGAGGAGGCAGATGAGGAGGCAGTGACACAACAACATCGACCAATGATGGACATCGTTATTGAGAATGTGGAAGTTGTCATTGTGGGGAGCAGCGTAAAAAACAAGAAACAGGAAACTGACTGTTGGATTTCATAGATTCGTCAAAATAAAACCTGATGTTCAATCAAACTTTCAGAAATAATAAAATGTTTAAGATCATCTGAATTTATTTATTGTTTGTGTTTTAATGATTCATTTTAATTTCTGTTTATTTATCTAAACTTGATTTTTATTACTCAGAATTTTAATTAATTTAAATCATTTCATGAAATAATTTAATCAAGTGTCTCAGACGATCATAAAGATCAAGGTTTAAAAAAACATTAAAGTTTTATATAAAACAGGAAGTGACGACATCAGTTTCCTACCGCAGTGAAGAAACCGAGCAGGAAGATGATGGCGATGATGAAGATCATGATGGTGATGAAGATGATGGTGATGATGAAGATCATGATGGTGATGATGGTGATGAAGAGCAGCTCAGTCTTTCACCTCATTAAACTGGTTACCAAAGAACAGTTAATTTAGATTTTTTTTAACTTTCACTTCATGTGATTGTTTAAAACGTTTTTTAAACATTTACATTTTACATTTAAAAGCCACAGAATTCAAATTAGAATCTAAAACTACTTTTTAAAGTTTCAATTAGCTCGTCACATTAACGCCCAGGTGTCGCAGGTACATTTATCTAATCCTTGTTTGTTCAACGTGTTTTTGTTTCTGACATTTTAACATGTTTTTTTTTTTCAGAACTTCGGCTGAAGAAAGTGTTTGAAGAGAGAGAGAGTTTACAGGATCAGGTGAGACGACCTCAGACTTTAACGCTACGTGTACACAAGATGCAATAATAACAGTAGGGGGCAGTGTACAACAATCGTCATACAAACCATCAAGAACTACAAATTGTTGGACACTTGGTGAAGACATGACGATGTCGTCAGTTATCAGTCGACTGAGCAGGAAATACTGAGACCAGTTTAAACTAAATAAAACAACATGGTTGATTGTTTACTGTTTATCCTAAGCTTTGAGATTAGCGCCCTCTGGAGGAACCCTACAGTTACACTCGTCGTAGCTGCTTAAAATCAGGACATCAGGACAACAAATAATTAAAATAATTAACCATTGAATGTTATTTTGTGTTTGTGCAGGTGAGACTGTTAAAGACTCAACTGGATCAGAGACAGAAGAACGGGAGCGATGGAGTCGAGAACCCAGAGGACGGGACTCTGGACAACGGAATGGACTCTCATCTTCTGGACCTGCAGAGTCAGTCCTCTTCCTCTTCATCCTCCTCTTCCTCATCTTCATGATCTTGTAACATCTCCCGGATGTTTTGTTTTTCAGGAGACGCTAACAGACAAATCAGTGACCTCAAGTTCAAACTGGTGAAGACGGAACAGGAAGTCGCCACTCTGGAACAAAACGTACAAGCTCATGTTTATAACTTTCAAAATAAAACATTGTCTGTGTAAATCATTTTAGTTTCCGTTCCATTGAATCTTCTTGATCACAACAGATTTATGAGTTTCAGTAACTCTTCTTCACCTGCTCAGATAATCCGTCTGGAGGGTCAGGTGACTCGCTACAAGTCGGCGTCGGAGAACGCAGAGAAAACCGAAGACGAGCTGAAGGTGGAGAAGAGAAAACTGCAGAGAGAGGAAAGTATTTTACTTTTCATCTTTATGGTTCCAAGTATAACTTCAAACAGATCGGATTCTTTTTCGTTTTTTTACTCATTAATATATTCTTCTCCATATCATCAGGAAATCTTTGCGTCTTTAGTTTGATGTTTGTCGTGCTGCTCATTGTGGGAACTGTTGGTTTCTCTATAATTCCAAAGTCTCGGCCTTAATATATGAAGAGCCTTGAGATATTGTTATGATTTGATGATATACAAATAAAATTGAACTGAAGTTCGTATTCATCTTTGTTCTTCTTCGTCTCCTGCAGCTCCGCTCGGCTCTGGACCGCGTTGATGAGCTGGAGGCGAGTAATGCCCACCTCTCCAAACGCCTGGAGAAGATGAAGGCCAACCGCAACGCTCTGCTGGCCCAGCAGTGACGCCCCCTGTTGACAGAGAACTGTTGGTGCCATGTTTTCATCTCCATCATAACAAAGACAAATCTAGACGTTTGTGGCAGCGCTTCATTTCCTCTGCATGCAGCACCAGGCGGGTGGAGTTAACAGAAATCTGAAGAGAACTATTCTGACGTGGGAACAAAGGAGATCAATCAATCAATCTCTGTGACTCCTTTGTCATGAATGCAGACCACACCCACGTGTGTGGGCGGAGTTTACCACTCAGGACAATGGTCAGAGTCATTACTCAACAGAAAAACTGTGGATGTTTCCATGACAACAGGACATTTGCTGAAGACGATCATGTGACGAAGTTGACAGAGATCGTTTGATCTGAGTAATAATTAATTTGTTTAATACTTAATCAAACAAAATCCATCGCAAAGAATGAATGAATAAAAGACGTAGAGAGAGGCCAGGACCTGTTGTGTACCCATCACATTAAACTCTGTCAGACTAGTTGTTGTAATAATAATCTTCAGTTGTACGTCGGTGTCTAAAGATGTTTCTTTTAATCGAAGTAACGTTAAAAGCTGAACCTAAAGGTTAAAGGTCGGTCTGACTGGCTTGTGTAGTGTCCGCTCAATAGATCAGACGTCATCACCTCTTTTTAAACTAAACAGCAGAGTCAGATCTGTCCCATTCAACAAACTACATCAACTATAGTTACAATAAAAGTCAGACAAAAAGAAATTAAGGTTGAAACAACACATTAGTACAAGAGTGTTAAAAATGCCTTCCTGTAAAAATAAGTTTTGAGCAGCGATTTAAAGACAGTGGTGAGTTCCGGAGCCTCGGACCTGATGTAGTGAGTCCTGACAGATGACAAGGCTCTCAGGTTGTGACTGGAGTCAAGGAGTCAGAGCAAGTTGAGCTTTGAAGCTATTCAAAGAATCTGAAGTCCTGAACCTTTGGATCTTTGAGGTTGTGTTTCGTGTCTCGTTCATGTCGGACTTGAGTAAGAGTTTCTTCCTAATCTGTCCTCAAACACTGGGGGGCGCTGTCTCCCTCCAGGATTAAACTACAGCAGAGACCAGATTCAAACAGACCGTCAACCGACCTTCCTCGTTTTTATTGTTTGATTCTGTCGTCCAGGTAACAGTGGAGGGGCTGTGGTCATGTGTGTCTGTATGAGGTGGGCGGAGACTCATCAGATCATGGTCACGTGTCATTGATCATCCTGACCAATCAGGAGTTTGCTATCAATAAAATTATTGATCCTGTAAAAAAATGATTATTGTTGATGAAAAATCATGAGCGGATGTGATTGGACGATGGACGTCGTCACAGAGTTTATAGACAAATAAAGTTGAAGGAAATATTCTGGAATACAATTTATTTTCTGAATGTAAGCAGTGTGGCTGTGGGCGGAGCTTCATATCTGATCTGATGTTGTCTGTTTACATTTTTCAGTTTGAAACTAATTAAATCAAATTAAAAAACATCTGTTTGTTATTTTCTTCAAAACATTAAAAAGCTGCTGTGACAACGAATAATAAAACAAATTATTTAATGATTAAAAGATTCTGTGACGTTAAACATCTGATCTGACTAAAAGAGTTTTAAATTTAAACTTTAATCACACACGAACACAAAAACAATATATTTTACTTTGCATTTCAAACTTTTATTAATTCATATAAGTATTTTAATTTCATTAAAAATTATATCAACGTCCTCAAACGTATATCTTTTGTTTAAATTTGGAGAATGATTATTACTGAATGTGTCTTTGTATGAAAGAAAAATGAGTTTAATAAATTCTATTTAATCATTGAAAACTGGATGACTGATAATAATAATAAATACATGGTTGTAGTTTTAGAGGGCGCCAGCAGGTAGAGCTGTTGTTTCAAATGAAACACCTGATTAACTTTATTTATAATTTATTTACATGTTACTGTTTGTTGATGTGACACTATTATAGTATCAGTAGTATCGTAGTTTTACTGTAGCAGTACAGCAGTAGTATTAGTACTAATAATGTAGTATGACAGCGGTTGGTTCGGCTTTATTCTGCTGCGTCACTCGGTCTCTGGTCCAACACCAACTCCGTTTCACTTGCTTTTCTCCTGAGTGTGAGTGAGATGTTTTAAAGGAGATCAGTTATTGATCAGTTCACATCCTGAGTGATTAGCGCCTTTTAGTGGCAGAGTTGCATAAAGTTATATTAAGTACACAAGTTTTAAAAGTTGAAAAAAGTTTCATAATTTTTTAATAAAGTATATTAAAGTTACAGACGTTTAAATGATTTAATAGTTTTATAAAGTCACGGTCACTTTGTTTCCTGGAAACTTCTCAGAATGAGATGATGTGCTTCTATAAATAGATAAACAAAGTTACATCTCTACACTGTAAAAACACTTTCATCTGTTTCAGTCCCATGATGCAGTTCTTTGTTTTAACTCTGCCCCCACAGCCCCCACCAGAGGAATAATTAAAGACATCCAACATAGCGTTGGATGTCTTTAATTATTAGTTACTTAGTTCACTGACCCATCACACGCTGGTCATTTAGAATACTTATATTTCATATCTTTGATTTCACGTGATTTCATTAAATATTTGGGATGTTACAGGTATCCTGTTGATGACACTGATGACACTGTGTCACAACGTCAGCAAGTTAATCCCATCGCACCGACCTTTGTCGCCAACATGAGCGTTACTATGACGCGGCGTGTACGTTGGGTTCGTATCACCCGCTGCTGTACGAGAAACTGCTGATCCAGAAAAACAACGAGCTGCGGACAAAGGGGAGGGATTCAGCTCTGTTCACTGTCACACATTCAATAAAGGTTTATGTGTTCAAACTGCAGCCCCACGCTGCTGCAGAGCTGCTGGGAAATTCAAACTCGTGATGAAGCAGATTCTGTCAATTATCGATCATTGACTGAAGATTCACCATCAATTGAGTTGTTTTTAATTTTCACACATTTTTATACAAACTAGTAATTTTTACTTTTTATTATATATAAACTGACCAACAACCTTTGTTTTTACACACACACACACACACACACACACACACACACATGAATAGATATTGTTGTTATGTACTGAGGGATGGGGGTGGGGGGGGGTCATGAGACTCTGTTTGCTCGTCCCTAAACCAGTCATGAGACAGAGAGAGAGAGGAGGAAGACGATAGAAGAGAGAGAAACAGCAGATGGAGGACGTGTGTCGATGGGTGAGGAGGTGCTGCTGTGGTGAAGAGGAGGATGAGGATGAAAAAGAGAGGAGGGATGAAGAGGAGGAGGTGAAGATGGAGGAGATCAGATTCAGGAAGAGCACAAGTTCAACATCACTCCCACCTGCTGAGGTACCAAACCAGATGGAACACTCACTAACTCACTAGCATGTCACTAGCATGTCACTAACATTTCAATTTGTCACTAACATTTTTTTATTATTGCTTTATTTTTTACAGTGTACTCTGTGATTTCAGTAGAAATATTTTTAACCTCGTGTTATTACTGTGCCACTGTAGTGTAGTTTTTACAGTGTATCTTAAAT